TGTTTCGAGTTGTGTCCGTCTGAAGTTGTTTTCGTTTTGGATCTTTCATGAATTTTCACAATGTGGATATGGCTTATCCAAATTTCAGTTTTTTGTTGGTTTAATTATGATTTAATTGTTGTTAATGATGGTGGAAAAGAGGTTTTTGATGTTTAATTTCGTGTATTTTGTTAGATCTGGTTATTGAATCGGTCATTTTTGTTTCATTGAACGTAATTTTACTGTTACTGCCTCCATTTTTTGATTGATATGGAGTGTGTGGTAACACTTTATTTGATAATTATTATTCAAGTTATATATATTTTCAGATTTGTTGATTCTGATCCATGATTCAATTTTTAGAATAAACTTTGTTTTGGATGATATTGTTGTTGCCTAAGATAAAATATATATTATCATTAATACTCTTCAGTATCTTGGGTTCTATCTTTCTGTCAAATAAATATAAAGGGTGGTAATTACTTGATGTCACATAGCTACATAGCCGACTCCAAATGATGGAATATGGTGTTGTTAAGTCTTGGATTTGGTAGAATGTGGCAATTTAAATGTTTTATGAATGATGGGTTTAGAAAGGGAAATATTTTTGGCGACACTTGATCTACTAATGTCCAGGAAGAGGGAAATGTAGTTTGTGACGGTTGTTGTTTACTTGAAGCAGTAGTTATCTTGAATCTATATTCCGTTTTAATTTCCATGTCTGGTATGGAGTAACTGATAGTAAAATAAGAATTGATTTTGTCGTACTCATTCAAGAATCCAACCTGTGGTATAGCTGGAATTTGTGTCACCAGCTACTCGTTTTGGACGGATTTTCACTTAACCTGTAAGCGTTATGTTTCATCTTATGACACGTGTTGCAGTCTTTTTGTTGTGTTCCGTAGAGATCAGCTTTAAACTTTGGGGGTTTCTTCTTCCTTGTAAGTGTTGAATTCGTGTCAAGCTCAATTTTGTACCTGTTAGTTCAGGTTTGCCAGCCTTGCCTCCAAAGATGAGCTCAGACTCTTTATTATTCTTTCAGATCCACAAATGTCAATGCAGAATTCGTGAGGAATTTTATTTTTCACTTGTGTGGATAAATATGAGAGAGGCTGTGGTTCTTATTTTAACAATATATTAGATTCTGTTCTCTGCTAGCTTGTGTTATTAGTTACCAAAGATACTGACTCAGTCTTCTGCAGGAAAAGCAGGTTGCATACCACGATGAAGGCACTTATTCTTGTTGGAGGTTTTGGAACACGGTTGAGGCCGTTGACACTCAGCTTCCCAAAGCCCCTTGTTGAATTTGCTAACAAGCCTATGATCCTGCATCAGGTATGATTTTGTAAGCATGACCTTTTTTTAAATTTACATCTCAACTGGAAGCCTCCTTTCTGGTAGCAGTCATTTCTTGGTTAGTTGTCATTTCAGTAAGGTTTTCTTAACATAACATTGTTTGTTGTCGGGATTTCCACATTTGTTCTTAAATAATAATAAAGGATGTTTTCCTTGATTTCTGTATTTGAGATCCACAATGGACAAGCAATTCACTGCTGAGAACCTGTCAAAAAATAGGTGCCAAGATATATTGAACCATTTGACCTAGTGTAATGTGTTGAATTAGTTTTCATGCACTTTGTTGGCTCCAGTTTCCAAAATTTTGAAATTCACCTTTTGAATTGGTTTGCTAACATCTCTCTTCATTGGATTAGAGGAGTCTGTGAGCATATGTGTGTATGTTCCTTCTTACTTCTGATCTTGTGACAGATCAAAACTATTTCTCAAGAAAAATGAAGAAATTGTTTTTCTTTTCTTCCTCAAATAGAAATAAAAATGTCATCAATATCACCATGGATTTTATTACAGAGTACTAGTTCCTGTTATGGTACTTTAATATAGTCTGTTTTCTCTTTGTCTCTCTTCTCTTTCTCTTTCTTTATAATAGTGTGTGCCCTAACCTTGGGTTGACACATATCACCAAATTTTTCACAGATAGAGGCTCTTAAGGCAGTTGGAGTTACTGAAGTGGTTTTGGCTATTAACTACCAACCAGAGGTAAAAGAATAATGCCTTTTCTTATATACTGAACCTTATTTAATGATCCTAGCGATTGATGTAATGCTGCAAGATATCGGTTCTAATGTTTATGGTGTTGTTTCTTGTTTATGCAGGTGATGTTGAACTTTTTGAAAGACTTTGAGACCAAGCTTGATGTCAAGATCACCTGCTCACAAGAGACTGAGCCATTGGGCACTGCTGGTCCTCTGGCTCTGGCTAGGGACAAACTGATTGATGATTCTGGTGAGCCATTTTTTGTCCTCAACAGTGATGTTATTAGTGAGTACCCATTCAAAGAAATGATTGAATTCCATAAAGCCCACGGAGGAGAGGCATCCATTATGGTAACCAAGGTAAAACTTCAGCTCTTGTGATTATTTTCATTCCTCTTCATTGGAGACATTGTTGTAAGGTCAAATGATTGATAAACATTTTGTATTATCATTACATAGGTGGATGAGCCATCAAAATATGGTGTGGTGGTTATGGAAGAGTCGACTGGAAAAGTTGAGAAATTTGTTGAAAAGCCAAAGTTATTTGTTGGTAATAAAATCAATGCTGGAATTTATCTTTTGAACCCGTCAGTTCTTGATCGCATTGAACTGAGGCCCACCTCAATTGAAAAAGAGGTCTTCCCAAAAATTGCAGCTGAGCAAAAGCTATATGCTATGGTCCTTCCAGGTTTTTGGATGGACATTGGACAACCAAGGGACTATATTACAGGTCTGAGACTCTATCTAGACTCTCTGAGGAAGAAATCTTCATCTAAGTTGGCCACTGGCTCTCACGTTGTAGGAAATGTTTTGATTCATGAGAGTGCCAAGATTGGAGAGGGATGTTTGATTGGACCTGATGTTGCAATTGGTCCTGGTTGTGTTGTTGAGTCAGGAGTTAGACTCTCTCGTTGCACTGTGATGCGTGGAGTCCGCATCAAAAAGCATGCATGCATATCCAGTAGTATCATTGGATGGCACTCCACTGTAGGGCAATGGGCTCGAGTAGAAAACATGACCATCCTTGGAGAAGATGTTCATGTGTGTGATGAAATTTACAGTAACGGGGGTGTGGTTTTGCCCCACAAAGAGATAAAATCAAGCATTTTGAAGCCAGAGATAGTCATGTGAGCCACTGATGCTGTTAGCAAGTAGTTTAAGTTATTTTTCCCAGTAATTGTAACGTGTTGGTTCTTTCGTTCTTTTTTCTCTTCTCATCTCATCTCGTACACGTAAGTTGAATGCTCAGTTTCTCTTGTGAAAAGCAAATGATGATTGGCGTGAGAAGTGTAACTTTGTGTATAGATTGTAATAAGTCATCAGTTGGCTATTGTAATTTTCAAAGAATGTTTCTTTAATGTAAATTTCATTTCAATTTGTTCAAATGGATTGCCCATGACCTGTAATGTTATCTCTAAGACCCCGATCATTTGTCGGCAACTTTTCTTTTCTCTTGCTTTTGGCGAGCCCGATATATTTACTATTATTTGGATCTACAGTTGTTGATATTGTATTGCCACAAAGTAACATTATTGAGATTACTTGTGAAACATGCCCAACTCATAAAGAAACTTGGCTACTTATCTTATCTCTACTTGTTGCCATTTTTTTTTCTTCTTTTTCCACATTGCGGACCACCATATTTACAATTAAAGATGGGCCATCATATTCAATTGCAGAAAAGAAAAGTGGATAAGTAGAGCAACAGGTACATATGCGGACCCAAATGACGCTCTTATCACATGATTCGTATCTTACTGTAAATCCCTTATCATGAATCATCAACCAAAGATGTGGGTACCAATATAACAAAAAACAATTATGCAGATATAAATATATGCAGAAGGTACAACCCCTGGGTCCAAAACTGACAACATGGTCGCTTCTCGTGGTGCAAAATCCACACACTAAATATTAAGTTTTCATTATTCAAAGCAAAGCATGTGGGGGTTGTGCATTTTTATTTTGCTTTTCTAAATTGTGGACCTTTCCCTGTCATTTCGCTTAATTAATTTGGGATTCCCATAGATTGCGGAATTATCATTTATTAAACCTTATTATATGCTGATGGGACTAAATGATAATTACGTTGGGTTATTATTATAGTATATATTAGCACTCAGCTCAGCTGTAGTAGGTATACCATGATCAATTACTTGCATTTCCAAACCTCTAATGATTTTTATTTTTTCCAGGCTGTAGAATTTATAATAGTTCAAACTTGCTGAATTAATACCTTCAATCTTTTTCCAAACCTCTATTGCTTTGGCGTGTATTAAAAATAAGAATTAAGATAGTGATTGGTGAAGTATCTATTGCCTTATGACTTATTAGCAGCTTATCGTATATTTAATTATCCAAATCGCCCAAGATTCGATAATGAATGCTTTCATTGTTGTTAGTCATAGATTCCTTAATGACAAGGGAATCCGGGCTCTAAAAATGAATATTTAATTTCCACATATTTGTCAGAGTTAGATTGCATTATTGAAGGCAATATTATCCACTTAACCTAAATACATCATGATCCAAGAGATGGTCCAAGTGAAGGGATAACGTTACCCATCCTGTAACAGAAGTTAAACCCCAGTATCAAGTATGAGAGTAGTAAACTATCACTAGATGGTAAAAGAATAAAAGAAGGATGTAACATGATTTTCAAAGTTCGAGTCTTATTGATAATAAAAGAGAAAGAAGAAGATCTAACATGGTATTCCAAGAGGAGGATTTAACATGATCTCCTCAATTCGAGTCCCCACGATGATAAAAGAGTAAGAAGAGGATCTAATATAGTCTGTCGAGTTTGAGTCCCTACGATTACTGATAAAGATAACCACTGAAACTCTTATCCGACCAGTAGTTTCAGGGTTTCGAAGATTAGTTAAAGTACATGCAAATTGACCCAAACACCCTTACTCTTTTTTTTTTTTTTTTTTTTAAAAAAAAGGTATGGGAGTAGTAAGTTATTTCATTTAACATTTTGAAATTGGAGCAGCTGTTTTCGGAAAGAAAAAAAACATGAATTCCATTGCATTTGCGATTACTCACTACTCCAGCTTTTGAGGATCCTAAAAAGCCATATAAACATCTTACTATAACCACTAATATTGCAGGGTCGTGTCCATTTGGAAAACCAAGCAAATGAGGACCCAACCATTAAGAAAACAAGCCTCATTTGCGCTGTGTTTATGGCATGATGGTTGAACAGCAATAGTCTGTGCAGCTTGATAACAGTTTCACAACTATGGTGGAGGAGACGCATCACACACGTTTCACCCATTTTGTCATTCTTGACGAACTGAATGAATAGACAAGCTAAATCAAGTTTCAAGTTCAAAAATATCGATGCGAAACAAACGCCTCTGCAGTGAAAAGTAATCTAGAGCAGGGCTATGGACTACCACTGTCAATCTTTGTTCATATCTAAATTCTTGAAGTTAAAAAAACAAGGGTACACTATCAGAAATGGCATGCTTATATAATGAGATATCTTGAGCATTTCCGAGAAAATGGATACGCCTCAGAAATAACAATATTTACAGATATAGCATTTTAATCTAGTTCAGTCATGTTAATTGTTAGATAAATCCCCTAGACTGCGGCCAAAAGCCAAAACATGACATGAGAAGATATGGCAAGGAGGAACCAGGAGATAAAAGCCAAAACCACAGAAATTTGGAATCTGTTGCATGAGAAATGGGATGGTGACTGGCAGTAATTCAAAGTTAGGTCTTTTGTATACAGAACTGTGACCCCAGCTGCCGAGCATGCACCTGCAAGTGATAGAATTGCTGTCACCTGCATTTTAAATATTGATAGCATACTAGTTAAGTTTCAGATGAAATCAAAATGGATAATTTCAACACACAAACACTACAGGAGATCAGATATTTTTAGATTTATAAAAGCAAACATGGACTAGTATATATTTCCTTGTTTGAAACATTATATATGATGCAGAAATGTGGTCAGAAATCGCTTACGTGTGAAACAACAAAATCAGTAAGAATATTTCCTTCTTAATGGGGAAGTATGATGATGGAAACATTTGCTTGATTTAGAATGTCAGGTTAGACTAAAGATTATATACATGGCAGATATCTTAGACCAAGATTGCCAAGGTATTACATTGACCAACCATATATCTCTGAGGAAAGAAAAATGGCCAAGAAACAGTTCTGAGCAAGTTATATCTCACCTTAAAGCTCTCTATGTTAGTAACTTGCAAAATTTCATTTCCTGAAGGAATGGAAAAACATGCACAGCCGTACAGTGGCCTTGATGTGGTCACAAAATTCAGACTCCGGACACACCCACTGGCACAAAGCCACTACCTAAAAGTTTTCTTCTAATTTCTTCTATCTTGAAAGGAACAAAGACGAAGAACAAGATAAAGGTAAAGATATAGCTGCATCTTAATATACTGTCGCTTGAACGGCAAGAAACTGATTCATGTAACTATTCCAAAAATCCTTGCTCCTATTCAAGGTACAACTCTGAAAAGATAAATGAAAATAACACTTTGATTTGTACAATTCATTGCTATGGTCTGGTTTGAGTTTAGTAGGCCATCCTATTATCAACTAGAATCAGGATATAATTCTTTTGTTTGAAAATAAAGCATTTTGTAGATAGTTTTCAATTCTGAAAAATAGCTTAAAATCTAGAGATGATAAAAAGATTTTTACTAATATTTTCTATAAGACTTGCTTCAACATTATATTCAAAATTCAAAATTCTTCTAATTTTGAAAATTGTTTTGTATCACAGAGTAAATGTCCCCTTAGTCCCAATTTATCATTAAAAAAAGTCCCTTTTCTTCAGAGCCCTTATATATTGTCAAAGCTTACATATTTTAGTTAACTATAACAAATTTATTTCTTTTTCTATTTGTTTTCATACATCTATGAGCTCCAGCCAGTCAAAAATCAACTTAGAATATGCCTCGTGATTCTGAGAAGTAAAGCTCATGCATTTATAGAATCATGAGTTAGTTTAGGAAACTTACCCAGTCACCAACAACAAATAGGCTCACTAAGACGGGATTTCGCAGATTTTTCTTTGATCTCAAAGCATGCAAATCTAGACAAGCTAGTCCAAAACTCCACAGAACTTGAAGTCCCATTGATGCAATTAGATAGCTGAATCCAATAAACATGAATCAGAACTTAAATAAGTGGCAATATACCCGCATATATAACAGCAGATACTAATGCTATTAGTAAAAAAAAGCACATATGCACCAATTTGTATTCATGCAAGCACAGGACAACTGCACCTGGACATGTAAGTTCATGGTCAATCATAATCCTCCAAATTGATCTGTCACCTGCTAATGTAAGTTAATAGGCACAAATAATCCTCCAACTCATGGTCAGCTGGACATTCAAGTTCATGGCCCCATGCATTATACATGGACACAATTTATGAGCACATTCCTGATTCCTAAAACCCTCTGCTCACTGTTGCTTGGCTAGATTACTAATGCAAAGTTGACAATATGTTTTCTGGTGTCTACAATCTAGTTCCTAGGCTTCTCATAACTATGGTGAAAAGTATGCTCAAGTTAGAAGAAACACTAATCCTTAACAGCAGAAACAACATACAAAATGTACTCGCTGATTTCTTTCATCAAATGATAGTGGGGCAACAAGAGCCACATGCGCTCTTATTTGATTTCATCATGCCTCTTAGTTGAGGAAAGCACTAGTATAGGTGATTGAGACATATGGGAAGTGGAAATTACTAAGGTACTCTAGGATACCTCTCCAGAGGGGAAAGGAACAAGAAACTGAGAGAGCATCAGAGCAACCACTGGCTTAGAATGTCTTTGCAATCTTCTCTCCGTTTCCGATGGTTTTTACAGAGTGCATTCTTCCAAGTTCAGAAGTTTAAACATTGTAGTCCTCATTTCTTAGCTGAGTCATTGTCAAATTTATGCTATATTCTTCGGCTCCACCGAAGTCTATTGATGCCTCAAACCCACATGTATCTCCTGAAGTTACCAACCCCCACCCTAATCCACCCTGGTCATTAATATAAACCAGGTACCCGAAATTTCCCCTACAATTATCTTTCACTCTTAATTAGTGCAGGTAAATTTTAAAGCTTTCCCGATATAGCTTTCTCCAGGTGTAATCCGAAGTCATTTACACATTTACACCCAAACACACATAATTAGCAACTAAATCATTGTTAATACTGAAACAAGACAAAGAAGCAAAGAAATGAAGCTAAACCCAAATGAAAACAGGGCGCAAGAACCAAACTTTCATTTGAAAAACAATCAATTCTCACAAGTAAAACAAAATTACAGCAGTACCAGAAGAAATAAATGAAAATACCAGAAAGCAGTAGAATTGTAGAAGCCATGAGCTGAAAGCATCACCCCAACTGAAGCAGCGGCAAAAAAACACTGCCCCACTCGCAAGATTAAACCACTCACCTGCCCTGGACACCCAAACAACATCTCTCTCTTACAGAAAAGAAAAAAAAAAAAAAATCTTTCCCTTTCTCTCTCTCTCAAATTTACACCTCTCTGTGTTTGCTCAAAGGGCCCAATTCTCTTCAGAAACTGAGAGAGAAGGGAGCCAAGAGATCAATCAATGCCTAGATTTCAGGAGATTCTCATGAATCCAACAACTTTGCAATGAAGCTAAAGAACCTTTATTTGAAGAATAAAGAAATATTCTTTAAGCTTTCTGGGCTCTAATTCTAATTCTAATTCTTCCCCCAAACAATCTTTTATTATTTTACTCCAAACAAAGAGTCAAAGACTGGTACACCTTGTTTAACTTTTCTGAAAAACTATTATAACATTAACTTTAACGTGAACAAGGTGTTCATCATGTTGTTTCCTGCTTTGCATTATACAGATGGAGAAAACGAAAACAAAAAGTTGCCTTGAGGTTAAAAATCAGTTTCAACCACAAGAAACTGCTGTCAAATTAGCTGACATGTCATCATCTTAGTGGTCACTTTTACACAAATTACCAAAACCACTGTAGAGAATACAATGCTATAATTGTAAAAGATGGACTATTTTGAAAAAATAACCGTTACTTTCATTAAAATAACCACTAAACTTCAAAACTAACCAGATTCTTGGAATGCCTATTTTGACCTTGGATCTTTTGAAAAATAATCATCAGTTCTACCAAAAATCACCACGTTTTTAAAGATGCTGACATGTCATCATCACATTGCAAAGTTCTTAATCCCTCTAAAACCCTAACTTTTGCAAAACCCTGCTAGAAAGTGAAAGTTTTTTTTTTCCCCCCCTTCACTGCAACTCGATGGCTTTCAGTGCATATATTCGTAAATCGGCCTCTTCTTTGGCTCCAATGGCTAATCGATTCATTCGAGTCAACAGATGTTACCGTTCTGCCATCTTCATTGCCTCGAATAACCTGTGTCAGAAACCAACTTTGAGCCCTTTTGTGCCTCAACTTCACTTCTCTTCAGCTGTTGGGACTAAAAAGCCTAGTTCTGATGAGTCTCTGCTACGGGTTATTGATTCGGAAATCAAGTGTGCTACGGAGACTGATGATCACGATCGGGTAATGAAAAATTTTCTTTTCCTTTTTTATTTTTTTGGGTGGTTGGTTTATGGCTGTTTGTTTGCGATACAATCCTGGAAAATTGAAAGAAATTTGGGTGGTTGTATTTTATTTTTTATTTTAAATGATGAAAAAGGTTGGTTTGGTTTGCTGAGTTTCTGTTTGCTTATATTTTGCTCGTTGAGATGATTGAGGGAAAGTGAAGAAAATTAAGGGTTTTTGTTTATTGTTTCAGAATAAAATACTCTTGTTTTTGTTTAGCGAAGATGAGTTTAGTTTTGGCATTCAGATTTTTGGTTTCTTTTGTTTTACCAAGTGTTTTAAGCTAGTAAAAAGGATGGAAAATAGAAGGGAATTAAGTTCTGGATGTTATTTTTCCTTTCAGTGAATAATAGGCTCATCCCGATTAATTACCTGTTATGCTGTAACTCTTCTTTAATAGATTACTAGTAGATTATATTAAGAACAGACTTGCTGTTTTTGAGGTTTCTCTCCTGGTCTGAAGCATCAAGATATGGATGCTGGTTTACATGATGCCCACATGTTACTGTAAATTAAAAAAATCCCATTGATGGAAGTTATTAGATATGTATGTTTCTGCCATCAGAGTGTAAGGATAAAGATATATTTATTATTATGTCCTAACCACTCAATAACTCTGGTAAATTCTTTTGTTCTGATGAATAGGTGGAAGAGATTCCAAGCAGCTTCCCTTTCAAAATTGAGGATAATCGTGGACACCAAACTGTAACATTGACGAGAGAGTATCAGGGTGAACTTGTAAAAGTTGAAGTTTATATGCCTGATCTTGTTACTGGTGACAAACCTGAGGCTGTTCATGATAATGATGATGATGATGATGATATCGAAAAACCCAGTCGAACTAGCCTCCCACTAGTTGTTACTGTCTCCAAGAGTAGTGGAACCTCACTTGAGTTTAGTTGTGTTGCTTACCCTGATGAGATTGCGATTGACAGCTTGGCAGTTAGGAAATCAGAAAAGTCAGAGGATGATGTTGCCTACGAGGGGCCTGAGTTCCAGTAAGATGCTTACTTTCCATGGCTGATTCATTTATAATCCATCATTTCATTATCTGTATATGTAACATGTTTCACCTATTCATCTTCCTCAGTGATCTGGATGAGAAGTTGAAGAAAGCTTTCCACAAGTACTTGGAGATTAGAGGAATAAAGCCTAGCAGCATAAATTTCTTGTTCGAGTACATGATCAACAAAGACAGCCGAGAATACTTGAATTGGTTGAACAACCTTAAGAACTTCATTGAAGCATAGCTTTTTGCATCGACAATTTTTATGGAGGCCAGGTCGAGTGGTGTTAGGTTTTCTTCTTCAGTTCTTCTCTTAATGTTCATTTGCATACTATTTCATGTAAGGAGTATTAACGTGTTGTGTTAAGCACACAACAGTGTAGTTTTGAGGTATGCCCAGAATTGTTACTTAATGCAAGATTTGTTATCAAGAAGAATGCAGTATTTTGTCATACTGTTACTGGTGTTTATTTCACATTGGCTTTGTCCTTCTGGGCTACATCTTTCTCCCAAGTTACAACAGGAAAGACATGCTAAAGAATGGAGTCTCTGTCAACTCTCCCATCTAATTTTTTTTTTGGGTAATAGTAGCCCTTGATGTTCGAAGTGTAGTTTAAGATTTCTAATTACAAAATGCTATAATGTACAGTCACAACATACCAAGCAATAGGGTTACACATAAAAAATATATAAATCATTCATTAAACTGCTAAATTTATTATATGTCCCGATAAGGGAATGAGAATGTAAAGTAGCTAATATTGCTAATCTGATACAAAATGCTTATTGAATTGGACAGAAAATCTAAGGATACAGAATCAGGACTAATATATTTCAGCACCTTATAAAATAATGCTGCTACATGAATAAAAAAGACGTAGCAATATCAAAAGCCCATAAAGACTACTACTGGTATGCGGGATGCAAATCTTTAAGTGTAAATTTCGGATTCAATAGCTATGTCCTTGTGAATATAATCCACTCCCTTGTCACCATCCACCACTTGTCCGCTTCCTTTAAGAATCCTGCAGATGCAAAATCCAATAATAACTAAGACCCTGTACAGACTAATTCAAGATTTTCTGACCCTGCACAATCTTCTGGAAATAAATGAACAATATAATACGTGATAATTAATAGAATAACAATCCCAAGAGGAAATACTCTCATCAAGAAACCTTATATGATGGCACTAACGTCGTAAGCAAAAAATTCATACCATCTAGTAGTTAACAATCCTTCAACTCCAACTGGACCACGAGCATGAATCCGGCTTGTGCTTATGCCAACCTAGTCAGATACCAAAGAGAATCAACTATGAGAGAACAGGAACTCTTAACAAATTGATCAAACTTATTGAGTAACCTGCTAGATGATATGATACCTCAGCACCAAGGCCAAAACGAGCCCCATCACAGAATCTTGTGCTTGCATTATGGAAAACAGCAGCGCTGCCAAATAAGCAACAACAAATTATTATTTTGATATCATATTAAACCCTACTGCCAATGACCTGAAAAAACAGAAAACACCAAGGGAAACAAATAATAAGACTGGTAACCAATGTCTTAAAACTAAGAAAATTGAAGTTGGCTCACCTGTCTACTCGGCGTAGAAAAACTTTGGCGGCTTCCTTGTCTTCTGCTATGATGCATTCTGTATGACCACTGTGAAATAAAGAGAAAAGATTGATTATTCATCTCCATGTAAGTTTTTCAAATAGCCATGTGCAAATTTGTGAGAAATAGAGAGAAATATAATGATTCATTAGATCTGAAAGGAAAAAGGAACATACCTCCCATGTTCATGTATATGATCAATGGCTGCATATACATCATCCACAACTTCAATGGTGCATGCCAGTGAGTTGTACTCATAATGTAATGAATTTGCCTCTGGAACACCAAGCAAGGTGCTGGCCTTTGGGCCACCAAATAAAGTGACACCTGCAGGAGATGTTCATCAGTACCTTTCGATAAATCTCAGTCTAATGGTATCAGCACAAGATGTTACTTTTTGCATGTGGAGCCATACCTTCAATGCGGAGTTTAACGATAAGGTCATTGAGCCCATCTGTTGGCACCAAATCCTTGTGAACAAGAAGTGTTTCCTGGTAACATAAAAAAAGGATGGAGCACTGACAAGTTGACATTTTGAGCCAAAAACATTGACACCTTAAGATCTAAACTTGAACTAATACTATAAAGAGCATATCAAAAATATCAGTGGCCGATAACCAAAACAAATTACCATTGCATTACAGGCTGCAGGGTAATCTATTTTTGCATCCAAAACTATTTGCTTCACCATCTCCATATTAGCAGATTTATCAACATATACATGGCAAATTCCATCTGAGTAGCAAAATTGCATCTTTAGTTGATTCCTATTGAGCAATCATCTATTCAATGAACTAGATTCCATGGATTATATATCTCACCAGCATGGCCTAGAACAGGAATTTTAGTTGATCCCTTGATTTGAGTAACAAGTCTGTTGCTTCCTCTTGGGATTACAAGATCAATCACATCATCAAGCTGGCACATAAAGGAAGACACAGAGTTAACTTAAAGGTATCAACTATCATTCTCAAAATTGACATGCTTTAATCAATAAAAATCCATCCACCTTAAGCAGATCAGGAATCTCATCTCTTGAAGTCACGAGTCCAATCAGTCTTCCACCAACTTTTTCTGGTATGGCTTCAGTGATAATCTAAAACATGAATGACAGAACTTTAGATATGACTTCACTCGGAATATTGCATAACAATCATTTAACACTAAGATATCAAACCTGATGCAATATTTCATTTGATTTCTTGGCCTCTTTTCCTCCTTTCAGCAAAAGCCCATTCCCACTTCGGATTGCCAATGAAGCTATCTATTAAAATCATGAGTAAAAAGTAATGGTATTATAATGAATAAATAAAACGGAAAATACAAAGCAGATACACAACATTGGTAATAAATGATATTTGTAATAATGGATCACATTTACCTGTACTAGTGCATCAGGTCGAGACTCAAAAACAATCAGGAGAACACCCAAGGGACATGAAGTTTTCTCCAAGATAAGTCCATCCGCAAGCTGATGCAAAATCCATCAGAAACATCTCAGATTAACATTCAACACCCAGGATATATTGATAGTCCAGAAGATCTCTATACAATTAGTCCAAGACGTAATAACATTTTTCTTTTATAGCCAAGGAATAGTTTCAGGTACAGACTGCAGTTTATATGTCTCAAAATTTCCCGATTAGACTTAAAAAGTTGTTTACTAAGTGCAGAAGTCAAGATTTGAAGCAAATACTTTCCATCTCTTGGTAAATCATCACTGTACTAGAGACCTATAATTAATATATTTGAAAGAGTATTTTCTTTACCTCGGTTCTCTTCAATACGTGACCAATTGGGTCCTCCATGTTTGCAAGCACACGAATATTATTTGCAAGGCTTAAAATCTGTCAAGTACAGTACACTTCATTCAAAACATAATTTGTGCAATTTGAGAAATAGAGAAAATTTTCAAATTAACATCAGACATAGGGAATTAGTTTAAAATTAAAAATAAAAAATAAAAATTGACAGAATAAACGGCAATAAGCAGCTACAAAAATTAGAAATAGTTAAATACATCAGCAGTGTCTTGCCTTCTCTGGCTTCAGAGCCAGGCGAGATATCAGGGATTTATCATATCCAGCCTCTTGTGCAGCTGCAACATCAGCATCATTTTCAGCCATGATCTTGCTTTCATTAGCTTCCAAGGCATCAGCTATATCCAGCAAAATCTTTTTCCTCTCTTCCGAAGACAAGGCCTGTAGAGTATTACACAGTAATTAATGTTGCAAACCAAGAGCATAAGTCTTGCACGAAGTTATAAGGGTAGAAGATACTGCCCTCTCTACTTGCAGAAGAAATGTGAGATTTCCAATTAACATAAACTTATCAAGCTTCTCAAGCATGATGCAAATCGATGTTACCTGAAGTCGTCTAGAACAATCCCTCGCTGCAACTGCCATCTCACGAGCACCTACTTCATTGTCTCCAACCAACAAATGTGCATCTTGGTGGAAAAGGGTACCAATAGCCTCTCCTTGCAGAACTTTGATTATGTTTTCAGCAGAAAACCCACTTCAAAAGAAATATAAGGAAATTATTGCACTATCATGCACTAGCTAACTTGTGGAAACCTGTAAGTAAAACATTATATAATGTATGGAGCCTGTAAAGTGCATCCACATGGTAAATATCAACAATATCCACCAAATAATTGTCACTCTGGTTCCTTAATTTGCAAATGACTAAGTTTTGAAGTATATTTTAGGATATAAGAGGGGGAGTATACCTGGTGATAACCACAGGGATGCCTGCATAAGCTGCATTGACAGCAGCTTTTACCTTGGCAGTCATGCCTCCTCTTCCCACTCTAGACTTGTCTCCAAAAGTTATTTCACACTGATGCTTTTCCCTAACGTATGTCTGAATGAGCTCTGACTCTGGGTCAGCTGGGGGGCCACTGTAAAGACCCTCTACATCACTCAATAGAACAAGAAGATCAGCTTTCAACTCCAAAGCCAGTAGGGCTGCTAAGCTATCATTATCCCAGAATATACCAGAAGAGTCCTGCAAAGAGTGCAAATCATCAGAACTGTAACAGTAGTAAATGCATCAATTAAGGAATTAGCGGAAAGTAGAAAGGGATAAAACAGTACAGGTCCTCTTTAAAGCTATGAAAGATATATCTGAAAACCTACAATAATCTAAAGGTAGCCTCATAAAAGATTATATAGTTCAGGAAGGAACCTCTCAGTAAAGTTTCTTCCATTTACTGGTTTGTTCACAAACTAGAAGAAAGCACCCCAACATTTAATATCCACAACCAAATGAAACTTTCCAAAAAGTGATTGCAAATACAAATCAGTTTCACTTTTTGGTTGTTGACTAAATGCTAGTTCATTGCATGAATAACAACATTTTTCCTTATTCTCTGAAAAACAGAGAATTATCTTCCTTTAGCTTTCCCCTCTCAAAACGTGGAATGTCATAATCCACTTATCAGGGCTTCTTTTTCCATAATAGCTGAAGGATTATTGAGTACTACATTAGAGAACCTTTGTCTCTCAATTTATAAGAATGAGAAAGATCATATCAATTTTTATATTAGGTTAGTACAAAATAAAAAATTTAAACATTAAGGAAAGATGAATCCTAGTCATTAAGTAAATGAAGTATTCCCACAATGAACAGCAAATAAAGAAGAGTAAAATGCCTCGTATGGAGCTTTCCTTGTACTGACAGCATCATTTTCATTAAATACAGGAACAACCCTCAGAGATAACAAAGATTTCACAGTTTCATTAAGTTGCCTTCTGAAATCTTTATCCCTAAAGTCATTATCTGTCACAAGAAGTTGCGCAGATGTCATATCCAGCTGAAAAAAAAAAAAACCTACCAAGCAATAGGGTTACACATAAAAAATATATAAATCATTCATTAAACTGCTAAATTTATTATATGTCCCGATAAGGGAATGAGAATGTAAAGTAGCTAATATTGCTAATCTGATACAAAATGCTTATTGAATTGGACAGCAAATCTAAGGATACAGAATCAGGACTAATATATTTCAGCACCTTATAAAATAATGCTGCTACATGAATAAAAAAGACGTAGCAATATCAAAAGCCCATAAAGACTACTACTGGTATGCGGGATGCAAATCTTTAAGTGTAAATTTCGGATTCAATAGCTATGTCCTTGTGAATATAATCCACTCCCTTGTCACCATCCACCACTTGTCCGCTTCCTTTAAGAATCCTGCAGATGCAAAATCCAATAATAACTAAGACCCTGTACAGACTAATTCAAGATTTTCTGACCCTGCACAATCTTCTGGAAATAAATGAACAATATAATACGTGATAATTAATAGAATAACAATCCCAAGAGGAAATACTCTCATCAAGAAACCTTATATGATGGCACTAACGTCGTAAGCAAAAAATTCATACCATCTAGTAGTTAACAATCCTTCAACTCCAACTGGACCACGAGCATGAATCCGGCTTGTGCTTATGCCAACCTAGTCAGATACCAAAGAGAATCAACTATGAGAGAACAGGAACTCTTAACAAATTGATCAAACTTATTGAGTAACCTGCTAGATGATATGATACCTCAGCACCAAGGCCAAAACGAGCCCCATCACAGAATCTTGTGCTTGCATTATGGAAAACAGCAGCGCTGCCAAATAAGCAACAACAAATTATTATTTTGATATCATATTAAACCCTACTGCCAATGACCTGAAAAAACAGAAAACACCAAGGGAAACAAATAATAAGACTGGTAACCAATGTCTTAAAACTAAGAAAATTGAAGTTGGCTCACCTGTCTACTCGGCGTAGAAAAACTTTGGCGGCTTCCTTGTCTTCTGCTATGATGCATTCTGTATGACCACTGTGAAATAAAGAGAAAAGATTGATTATTCATCTCCATGTAAGTTTTTCAAATAGCCATGTGCAAATTTGTGAGAAATAGAGAGAAATATAATGATTCATTAGATCTGAAAGGAAAAAGGAACATACCTCCCATGTTCATGTATATGATCAATGGCTGCATATACATCATCCACAACTTCAATGGTGCATGCCAGTGAGTTGTACTCATAATGTAATGAATTTGCCTCTGGAACACCAAGCAAGGTGCTGGCCTTTGGGCCACCAAATAAAGTGACACCTGCAGGAGATGTTCATCAGTACCTTTCGATAAATCTCAGTCTAATGGTATCAGCACAAGATGTTACTTTTTGCATGTGGAGCCATACCTTCAATGCGGAGTTTAACGATAAGGTCATTGAGCCCATCTGTTGGCACCAAATCCTTGTGAACAAGAAGTGTTTCCTGGTAACATAAAAAAAGGATGGAGCACTGACAAGTTGACATTTTGAGCCAAAAACATTGACACCTTAAGATCTAAACTTGAACTAATACTATAAAGAGCATATCAAAAATATCAGTGGCCGATAACCAAAACAAATTACCATTGCATTACAGGCTGCAGGGTAATCTATTTTTGCATCCAAAACTATTTGCTTCACCATCTCCATATTAGCAGATTTATCAACATATACATGGCAAATTCCATCTGAGTAGCAAAATTGCATCTTTAGTTGATTCCTATTGAGCAATCATCTATTCAATGAACTAGATTCCATGGATTATATATCTCACCAGCATGGCCTAGAACAGGAATTTTAGTTGATCCCTTGATTTGAGTAACAAGTCTGTTGCTTCCTCTTGGGATTACAAGATCAATCACATCATCAAGCTGGCACATAAAGGAAGACACAGAGTTAACTTAAAGGTATCAACTATCATTCTCAAAATTGACATGCTTTAATCAATAAAAATCCATCCACCTTAAGCAGATCAGGAATCTCATCTCTTGAAGTCACGAGTCCAATCAGTCTTCCACCAACTTTTTCTGGTATGGCTTCAGTGATAATCTAAAACATGAATGACAGAACTTTAGATATGACTTCACTCGGAATATTGCATAACAATCATTTAACACTAAGATATCAAACCTGATGCAATATTTCATTTGATTTCTTGGCCTCTTTTCCTCCTTTCAGCAAAAGCCCATTCCCACTTCGGATTGCCAATGAAGCTATCTATTAAAATCATGAGTAAAAAGTAATGGTATTATAATGAATAAATAAAACGGAAAATACAAAGCAGATACACAACATTGGTAATAAATGATATTTGTAATAATGGATCACATTTACCTGTACTAGTGCATCAGGTCGAGACTCAAAAACAATCAGGAGAACACCCAAGGGACATGAAGTTTTCTCCAAGATAAGTCCATCCGCAAGCTGATGCAAAATCCATCAGAAACATCTCAGATTAACATTCAACACCCAGGATATATTGATAGTCCAGAAGATCTCTATACAATTAGTCCAAGAAGTAATAACATTTTCCTTTTATAGCCAAGGAATAGTTTCAGGTACAGACTGCAGTTTATATGTCTCAAAATTTCCCGATTAGACTTAACAAGTTGTTTACTAAGTGCAGAAGTCAAGATTTGAAGCAAATACTTTCCATCTCTTGGTAAATCATCACAGTACTAGAGACCTATAATTAATATATTTGAAAGAGTATTTTCTTTACCTCGGTTCTCTTCAATATATGACCAATTGGGTCCTCCATGTTTGCAAGCACACGAATATTATTTGCAAGGCTTAAAATCTGTCAAGTACAGTACACTTCATTCAAAACATAATTTGTGCAATTTGAGAAATAGAGAAAATTTTCAAATTAACATCAGACATAGGGAATTAGTTTAAAATTAAAAATAAAAAATAAAAATTGACAGAATAAACGGCAATAAGCAGCTACAAAAATTAGAAATAGTTAAATACATCAGCAGTGTCTTGCCTTCTCTGGCTTCAGAGCCAGGCGAGATATCAGGGATTTATCATATCCAGCCTCTTGTGCAGCTGCAACATCAGCATCATTTTCAGCCATGATCTTGCTTTCATTAGCTTCCAAGGCATCAGCTATATCCAGCAAAATCTTTTTCCTCTCTTCCGAAGACAAGGCCTGTAGAGTATTACACAGTAATTAATGTTGCAAACCAAGAGCATAAGTCTTGCACGAAGTTATAAGGGTAGAAGATACTGCCCTCTCTACTTGCAGAAGAAATGTGAGATTTCCAATTAACATAAACTTATCAAGCTTCTCAAGCATGATGCAAATCGATGTTACCTGAAGTCGTCTAGAACAATCCCTCGCTGCAACTGCCATCTCACGAGCACCTACTTCATTGTCTCCAACCAACAAATGTGCATCTTGGTGGAAAAGGGTACCAATAGCCTCTCCTTGCAGAACTTTGATTATGTTTTCAGCAGAAAACCCACTTCAAAAGAAATATAAGGAAATTATTGCACTATCATGCACTAGCTAACTTGTGGAAACCTGTAAGTAAAACATTATATAATGTATGGAGCCTGTAAAGTACATCCACATGGTAAATATCAACAATATCCACCAAATAATTGTCACTCTGGTTCCTTAATTTGCAAATGACTAAGTTTTGAAGTATATTTTAGGATATAAGAGGGGGAGTATACCTGGTGATAACCACAGGGATGCCTGCATAAGCTGCATTGACAGCAGCTTTTACCTTGGCAGTCATGCCTCCTCTTCCCACTCTAGACTTGTCTCCAAAAGTTATTTCACACTGATGCTTTTCCCTAACGTATGTCTGAATGAGCTCTGACTCTGGGTCAGCTGGGGGGCCACTGTAAAGACCCTCTACATCACTCAATAGAACAAGAAGATCAGCTTTCAACTCCAAAGCCAGTAGGGCTGCTAAGCTATCATTATCCCAGAATATACCAGAAGAGTCCTGCAAAGAGTGCAAATCATCAGAACTGTAACAGTAGTAAATGCATCAATTAAGGAATTAGCGGAAAGTAGAAAGGGATAAAACAGTACAGGTCCTCTTTAAAGCTATGAAAGATATATCTGAAAACCTACAATAATCTAAAGGTAGCCTCATAAAAGATTATATAGTTCAGGAAGGAACCTCTCAGTAAAGTTTCTTCCATTTACTGGTTTGTTCACAAACTAGAAGAAAGCACCCCAACATTTAATATCCACAACCAAATGAAACTTTCCAAAAAGTGATTGCAAATACAAATCAGTTTCACTTTTTGGTTGTTGACTAAATGCTAGTTCATTGCATGAATAACAACATTTTTCCTTATTCTCTGAAAAACAGAGAATTATCTTCCTTTAGCTTTCCCCTCTCAAAACGTGGAATGTCATAATCCACTTATCAGGGCTTCTTTTTCCATAATAGCTGAAGGATTATTGAGTACTACATTAGAGAACCTTTGTCTCTCAATTTATAAGAATGAGAAAGATCATATCAATTTTTATATTAGGTTAGTACAAAATAAAAAATTTAAACATTAAGGAAAGATGAATCCTAGTCATTAAGTAAATGAAGTATTCCCACAATGAACAGCAAATAAAGAAGAGTAAAATGCCTCGTATGGAGCTTTCCTTGTACTGACAGCATCATTTTCATTAAATACAGGAACAACCCTCAGAGATAACAAAGATTTCACAGTTTCATTAAGTTGCCTTCTGAAATCTTTATCCCTAAAGTCATTATCTGTCACAAGAAGTTGCGCAGATGTCATATCCAGCTGAAAAAAAAAAAAAGCCTACATAATTAGATCAAAGGTCCAAGAAACAAATTAATTAGGCTGTAACATAGTTACAAAACAGAGAAAAAGTATATAAATCTCTTAAGGACCTCGCTAAACAATGTGTCATAGAGAGCCATGATACTGTTTTGGCCAACAGCTGCACAGGCCTTCCCATCAAGCTCAACTTGTGGTTTTTGAAGATCAGCAAAACTGTAAGAGATGAAAAGCTATTGCATCATAAGCATGTCACTGAATTCACAATATACTTAAGCAAAATACTAATTTTGTGAAGAGACAACACTGCCGGCAATGTTGAAATTCAAAAGCCTCAAAGTCATATATCAACATGTTAACAAAAGAACATTAAAGAGGACAAAATGAAGACCTGCTGTTGATTAGTCTTCTGTATTTAAGCCTCTGGCGACCCAGGCCAACAGCACCTGACGACACCAAAACAATCTCATATCCTTGTGAGTTCAACTCTTTAATCTGCAGTTTCGTTTCGAGTTATAAAATAAAAATACCCGAATTTCAAGATTGACAAACAAAGAACAGAAATCTACAATCTCACTTGCTCACAAAGCGCTCCTAGTCTTCCGAGCGCTAATCTTCCATCACCTCGAGTAACAACAGCAGTTCCAACCTTCAATAAATTGAACAAAAAAGCTAGTTAACATTTTAATAAACAAAAGTAACACATACATACCGTACATACAAATTATTTTATTGTAGTATACTGTTTATCCTTGTTAAATAAATTAAACTTTTTTTTAGTACACTCTTTCATTCATTATATATCATTTCTGTCGCATTAGATTGTCATTAACATACAGGAATTATGAAACTAACCCTTAAGACTTATGATTCACGATCTGGAAACATATTTTATATCACTCATATCCATAAATTACCAAAGACTAAACACTAAGAAATAGAAAGACAATCTTTTGTCGTTTCATATAATATATGAATCGGCAGTTAAGCTTAAAAAATTAACAAAATACTGATCTCATAATCAAGATTAAAAGCACTGACGCGATTCAAACAAAAGTTCAGAATCTGGAATCTTTCCTTTAATGAACCAAAGATTCCACTAGCATAACTAAAAGTTTTATCATAAACAAAAGTTGCTTTTCCCTGAAGCTGGTGTGCATTGATGGAACCAAATAAGATGAAAGAAAGAGAATATTTACACACCTTTACAACAATTCGCTTAACATCTTTGACAAATACTCGAGAGGAATCCATGTTATCAGTGTTGTCCATGTCTAGAGCATAACCGTTGCAACTCATCGTGGATACAAGAGGAGTTGGCATTCAGGGAGGGTTTTTTTTCTTTTTTTTCTTTTTTTTATTTTTTAACTTTCAAGGGAAGATCCTTTTAAGATCAACCACAAAGATGCCAAACGCTCTTTCACCTGGAAACAAGACCGAGCAGTACAGAGTACAGACACCAAAACGTGGAGGATACAATCTGCTTTTTATCCCAAATAAGACAATGCCACGTAAGGCAGCTGGTGAAAGAGACTGAAGAATGTGGAAGGCAATGATTGGTTAAGCTTAAGTAACAGGAGGGATGGGACCGGAGGCAGGAGTTTGTACAACACTTAAAATGATACGCGGCGTATGTAGATGTAGGTTTGGAAACACGACAAAAAGGTATGGAATTATTTAAGGCAGAGGTTGAGATCCGTGTTGTGCGGCTGGTCAGCGGATAGTGGATTTTTTTTTTAAGTGACATGTGTCAGGTAGTTCATTGGTCAATTGGCTGTTGCTAAACAATAAAAATTCAATCAATCAATCATGTTATGACTGTGACCGAATAGTTTTGTGATCAACGTGATTGAGTTTTTATTGAATGGTTTTTTTCTTCTCAATAGTTTAATGTTATAATTCATAAGACCAGTTAGTGGTGTAGAATTTTACTTGGCAAGTTCGTTTTGTTGGCTATATCCGCTCGTGTGGACACAATTTTTACTTCAGACTCAATTATTGTAACCTCATCCACCATATTCACGTTTAAAATTATTAATATTTTATCACTGGGGATAAGATTAAGATAATAAAGTAAAAATAATAAATCAGAATTAAGAATATTTTCCATGATCATTTACCCTTTCGAACTTCCCACGGCCAAATTCAAAAGAGCAATACTATTTTCTTCCACGTCACTTTTTGTATAGAAATTTGAGTGAGATTTCTTTATACATCTAACATTATTGAATTCAACGGGGCACTTACAAATTCACTGTTACCATGTTAAAAAGAAACTAACATTATATTATTACCATATTAGAAAGAACTCTGAGAGCAATTACTAACTAAAAGTTTACCATATTACACAACTAAAGTTCAGACGAGGAAGATCTACCATTACTCCTACGTAAAATTTGGTCTTTCCTTTTGTTTGAGATGATGTTGGTCTTCTAAAAGCTGTAGTCCAACACCACCCAAGCAAAATTAGAACTAGTACTTTAACTTTACTCATTCAGAAGCACTTCTCCTAGGAGGATTTTCCTTTTTTCTTATTCACAATTCATGTACCATGTTTCAAACTATTTTAACTGAACTATAGTGTGACCATTCCAAATCACCAATCTCAAAACATATAGAAATTACGCTTCCAAACAAAATCCAGATTCCTCCAAGGCTATCATACAGTTAATTCCCACGAACAAGCAAACAGCGGGTTCAAAATTAGATCTCAGAGACGAGGCTATGGAAAGAACCAGGCCTTGATGAAGACTGCCAGAGCCATTTGCAAAAAGAAGGAAGCAACCACCAGTATTGTGAGATCATTCCCCTCTATATAAGATCTCAGGTTCAAGGCAACAAAGCAAGATGAGACGGTACCAGCGATCAGTATGATCACCCACCGGAGAAACTCAACGGGGACAAGAAGTAAAAACTGAAAATATAGCATAAAGTATACGTTAGACAATTGTAGTGATATTGAAAAACAACAATTTTTTTTTTTAATGTACTAGCAGAATTTAAATGGTTTCAACATAACAAGAAAGGGCCTAATGTTGTAAGTAATATTTCTAAAGGTAATTTGTTGAAAGAATGAATGATAATTCCAGTGTTAACATTATACAAGAAAACTCTGTTCTCAGGTTGTTGTCCTTTTGAAGAGAGTGAAAGAGAATGTTTTATTTAAAAGAGAGAGAGAGGACTTTTCAGCAAAATGCAAATACTCACAGAGCTCACAATAAAGACAAAGAGAGAATATCCCCACAGGCACCAAAATCGAACAAGGCTAGCATGTGAACCCATATACTGAATCAAAAAGTAATATGCAAGTGGCACCAAAATTGCATAACCGTAGATTACACTTGCTGCCACATTTATATAGTTGACATCAAAGCTCCAAGAAGTACTGCTGCTAGTATGTTTTTCCATGAGGTACGTGCCACAGTTTCCAAGTGAAGCTAGCACAAATACCAATGTAGTGGAGATCCAGATAAGCCCATATCTAACATATCAAACAAAAAAAAAAAATTTGATACACAGTGAACCATCATATTAGATTCCAATGCAATATCAGTCATCAGACATTAGATTGTCAACAAACGAAAAAAAAAAAAAAATAGATACAATGTTTCCTCCATAGTTCTAATTTATGTCCTTCTTTAAGTGCCAAATTGTTTGTTCCACTATGAAAGCTGACAGAGATTGATTTCTCTATATGTCGAATTGTCGATGACAACAAAGACTAATACAAACAAACCAATTGATGATTCACAACCTCTTATTTTGCATATGCAGAAAAAAGGTACTGCCACAATATCCTGACTAGTAATATGTGATTTGCAATAGAGTAATACTATATTTACACCACTCTTTTACACTATTTTCATCACACAAATTTTTAATTATTTTTAATTTTTAATATTATAATAGAATTTGTGTGGTTGTGGCATATGTCATATCATGATGTAATGAAAATGGTGTAAAAGAGTGATGTAAATGTAGCATTACTCTTTGCAATATTATGTTTCATATTTGGAGAAACACCGCAGTTGTACGAAGTTTAATAACCAGATTTTAGTGTTGATCCATAAGCTCCTAGTTTTTTTTGCTTTCACACTCTCCCAACTTTGTCATGCATACCCTCAATGTACTACCTTACCCCTGAAAATTTTACACGTATACAATTTAATAAACTTCTCTCCGGAAAATATGTTTTTGTAATAACAGCAAACCATTGACCATCTTTTTTTATCCATGCACCATACCCCACCCTTCCCCATAGAGAAGAACAAATTAAATGATTCACTGCCAGGGTTGGTATGAGGCCCTGATCCCTAGACCTCTAGCTCCACTGCAATGGATCTAACAAAAGATTGACCATCTGTTTCAACATTAGGATAGAAATAGAAAGTGAAAATTGCATAACTCACAGATCAGGGTTAGCGTCGATCTTGCTGAAAAAATCTCCAGTAAAAGGGTACAAAGAACTCATCAATCTGTTTACAACAATGTCTGTATCCACATTAAAATATTGCTGGTATGATGCGACATTAAATACTCCCCTCCAATTGTTTGCTGGTTGTTGCTCAAATCCTTCTGCATGGGCACAAGGACAGATAGATTGTTAAATGGGAAGGTGACATAGTATCATTGTCTGTAAGAATTAATAAACCCATGGTAACATATACAATCACTGATTTGCATGTAACTGTAACAAAAATTAAACACTTCTGATAATGATTTCAGAAAATATCAAAACCCACCTGAAAGGATAATCCTGGGACACACTAACTACTAACAACGACAAGAAACTATGGAAAATTGACCACTTTCATCTTCTTCCAATGCCCTCCTAACCCATGCCATATAGAAACTTCAGAATAGCCCTTCCATGTTCCCATTTAATGCAACCATACAGTCAGATAAGAGGATTTTATCCAGCCTCTAGTCTCACACAAAATAACATAATTCAGTCTGTCCATTAATCCAAGAAAACTGAAATATATGCTGGCTGTAGCCAATAACCCTCACAAGAAATCCCATGTTCACAGGGCATATGCAGCTAAATAACTACTTAAACAAAGTTTAGTAGAAATCTAAGAGACTCAGAGAAACATACAAAAGGTTGTGATCTATTGATATTAAGAACCAAGAAACATAGGTTTTGTCATTGAGCTAGTTTTCCTTTCACCATCTTACATTGTAAAATCCTTTCACACAAGTCAATCCCTTATATCTACAATGTAAACTTTGTTGGTTCACTATACACAACAGAACCAGTTCCATGTTAAAAACTACAACAACCAATTTGAATCTAACAACTAATAAGCTCCACAACCAAGCTTCTATTCCTCATAACAATTAAAAGATAGAAGTTAAAATTATATGCATCACTATAATTAGTCATAGAAGTCCAATTTCATCCTATCAATAACTATGCGATTTAAAACAATGAATTCAAATGTTAAGACTACAGCAAAACACAAAACATTTATCCACCATCATACCCACAAAACATTTATTTTACGTAATTGGAAGATAAAAACATGAAAATGATCCTCCAAATTTTCAGTAGCTTCAAATTACAAAGAACTAGTAAAAATATAGGTAACTAAAACATAATTCTTTTTGTAAGTTTCTTAGTATGCTCCAAAACAATTGTCACGAATATTCAATTTTTGTGATACTATGACAAGCAAGAGCTGCATTTTAGTATCAACCACCAAATTGCCTTTATGAGTATAAAAAAAACACATTTTTCAGAAAGGTCGCAAGAAAGCTTCTAATCATTCATGTCAGGAAACTTAGCTAGATCTTATCATTAAAACTTCCATATAATGAAATCAACTACAAGAAAAACATACCAGTTGGACTTCCAAGAGTTTGATAACCTTGCCTACTTCCTCCTCCTGCTCCTCCATTATTTGGGGGAAATGTCTGCATATTTGCTTCAGGGACTGCAAATGAATAACAAGATTGTTTTCTCAATCCATATCAATTTAACTGCATATATAAACAAAAAGCAATTCAAATTGCAACCCAAAAAATTCACATATGATATACCATACCCTCATAGTTTGTGTTTTTATTTTCTTCACCAACAACGGCCTACAAACACGAAAAACAGAAACAATCAGAATTAAGCACTTACAAAACCCATTTTGAAACTTTAACAAGCAAAGCACTGAAATCAAGATCCTCATCCGACATCACAATAATAGCAATTTAAACGAGAAACTTCATCAACCTCTGCTGAAGTCGTAAAAGTCCCGAAATTCATTAGAGACCTTCCGTTTAGGAGGTCCTCAATACCTAGACTAAACTTCAGAGAAGACAAAATGAAACTTAAACTTTATTACCTTATTTATAAAACAAAATTGTCTAGCTACTACAGGACATAACTTACTAACAGTACGCCATTAATACTTTCCAGAAATAGCCCCAAACCGTAATATATACAATTGAATTAGTTAATTACTAAAACAACTAATTAATACTCAAAATAAATTAGACCAATAACTAGATTACTCTAGATCACTTTGAATTTATCGAATTACAAAAATTTTGAAAAAAGATAAAAAGCAGAAAATGTAAAAAAATAAGAAAACAAGTAATAATAGTTATAACAATGAAATTTAAGAGTGCTTACGGGAACTGAACCGAGCAACTGGGTTGAAGAGATGTTACTATAGGAGTCGTCCATGGAGAGAGAGATCGAAGAAGAATTTGTTAGTGTTGTTGTTGAAGGTATAGTTCAGAGATGCATTGTGGATTTGAGAAATGAAGTGGATCGAGATTCGAGTGAGGTTGATGTTGAGGTTGAGGTTTTTCGAGAGGCGTTAGGTTTTTCGTAGTGTGGAAGTTAACAGAGAAGACGAAAGAGAGAGAAGCTGACCTACTGACAGACCGGTTTTGGTGTTGGTGCTGCCTCTGATAAAGTAAAGAAAAATGAGAAGCTTTTACGCCACGATTGAGAATGGGCACACGGGTTTGTTACTTTACAGTTAATATGGGCCTCTTGGACTCAATGGATGGGCTTTTCATAGGCCATGACATCTTTGTTAGAGGTGGCTACATCTCAGTGGCTTGTATAAGATATTTTTTAGAATAAATAAATGGATAAATATTAAATACTGTACATAAAAATATAAAATTAGTTTTTGCTTAAATATTATAATGCTTTGAATCCAAAATCCAAGAATTATAATACTATAATAGTGAGGATAATCAACATGTAAAAGTGTAAGTATATATATAATCATATGCAAAACTTTGATGATATCGAATATATATATATATTTTAATATTTATATGAATAAAATTCTTTATAATTAAAAATTATACATTGGGGTTAAGAAAACTGAAAACCCTAATTAAAATAAATAGGCAAAAGGGTAATGCTATTTATAATGTTACGTAAGAATTTGTACAAAGTTACATAACATATTATATGAGTATTACGTGATGTGATATGAAAGTTTATATAATATTTATGTAACATTAAGTTATATGGTTCTTATTATTATATGACATGTTTATGACGTATCATAAAGTTTACCGATATAGGACTAATAATTAATAAATATATAACTGTTGAAATCAACAAAGTCAAAAAGTGCAGTAGCCATTAAATGCTTCTCGTTCACCTAATACAACCGTGTTTGGGTTATATATTGTTTTTCTTTTTTAATTATTAATCCTTTGTCGAAATTTCTAAATACTAGTTGATAGCATATAAAAATATTGTTTCAAAGAACCTGATTCGAGCTATTTCAGGGTGCGTTTGAATGATTATTTTGGATAGAATTTTAGGAATAATATTAAGTAATTGGATAGAAGAGTATTACGAGATAAACTTTAAAAATTTATGAAAAAGCCCTTAGATTTGCTAATTTAATTAAAGACCTTAATATATAAAATGACAAAAACACCCTCATCACCCGCAGTGTCAGATTTCAGCCACCACCGTCAGAATCTGATCAAAAAATTTCATTACGACACAGACCAGTCGGATCTGTGTCGTAACGCCTCGCTATGGCCTTTTCTGGCCAGATCCACCACGAATCTGGCCGGAAAAGGCCAGATCTACAGCCAAATGTGGTCGTTGACGACTGGAAAAGGCTAAAGAAGTCCATCTTTGGCCGTCAGCGATGGCCAAAGATATGGTCATCGTTTTTTATCAACGATGACCAAGATTTGGCTGTTGTTGACCGTCAACGACGGCCAAATCGGTGAACTACAGGCCATTTCTGGATTCTGGTCGGCAGGTAGGCCGTTGTACAGATTCCGGCTACCACCAACGGTGGCTGCTAGAATCTGGCAAGCATGGGTTGATGGGGATGTTTTTGTTAATTTTTAAACTTTTTTTCTGAGGGTATTTATGAAATTAATAAACTTAAGGGGTCTAAAAGTAATTAAAAAAATATAGTAATATTTCTAGAATAATGTGGTAAACAATATTTGGGGAATAGGACTGGGAATATGGATACAAATATTGAACCAAATGCACCCTAAGATATTATTATTAGAGTAATGTTACACCCACTATTTTTTCTTACAATCTCGACATGACAATTCGTAATTGGTTAGCTATAATTTATTATATGGGACCTAAGTAGGACCTATTATGAGTTGACCAATTGCGAGCTGCCACATCAAAGTTGTAAGAGAAAATTTATGAGAAGAGATTGTGGGTGTGACATTTTCCATTGTGCAAGTCTTTTGGACAATCAAATTCGTGTCACCCGTCCTCTACACCATGTCAAGATCTAATGGTCAAACTTGCCTGTGTCACTCCCACAGTAGATGACTTCTCTAGCAAGATTATCTGTCTCAAGCATGGGTGTTCAGATTTAAGCATGGGGAGTTTGACTTAGATTGGAGGATTATGCGTGTAATTCACTCCATAACAACTCCCAACCACTGTCAAGTGGTGTGTAAAAGGGAGAAACCGCCTCTGTTTTGGGGATGGATTATTCACACTCAAACAGAAAACCCATTTATAGAGAGAGAGAGAGAGAGAGTTTATTCTCGTTTTTACACATTTTCCTCTGTAATCACTCTAATAGTAAGCCAATTATAAAGCAATAAGATAATAGTGAACGTAGACTTGATTATAACTCGTCAAACCACTTTAAAAATCTTCTTTGTTTTTTCGTTGTGGATTTTCTAACTGATTATTCGTAATCATGCACACATCATATCCAGTCCTGACAAAGTCGATTGGGCACGACTGGTTGTTGCATTTTTGCATAACAACAATTATTTTAAATATTAACATATATGTATAATTAAGATAAGATAATCCTTCAGTTGTTGGACAACTTTAAACATGAGTTGAAAGTATCATCATGCATGCGACTTTTAATTTAACCTCTTTTGAGTAACACCACTTGATTTTTTTGTATGAAATAAGTTGATAAATAAACCATCTAATTTGTCAAGTTAAGGCGATTTAATTTTCCTATTATTATTATATTTAATTGATCTTTGCAAGAGTTTTTTTTTTCTTTTTGGTGACTAGGATGTCCAAACCAGTTTGTGTGCACCTCAACTAATCTTTGAGGATCCTGAGTAAACAACTGGGTAAATCCCCCTAATGACTACCCTTATTAATGTATAGGGGTACTCGAACTCAGAAGTCAAAGGCCATGTTGGACCATCTTTCCAAGAGTTGATAAGAACTATAGTTTTTGGGAATACTACTCTCAATATTATTCAACTTTTTTTAAACCTCTTAAATTTGTTAATTTAATTAAATACCCCTAAATATTTTTTAAAAAATTGCAAAAACACCGCAGTAATCCACATTTACCAGATTCCGGCCACCACTGTCGGAAAATGGCCGGAATCTGGTAGGATGGGGCACTACCGGCTGAATCTGGCCGGTAGTGCACCGATCTAGCCTTTTTCGGGCAGATCCACGGTAGATCTGGCCAGAAAAGGCCAGATCTAAGGCCAAAGATCTGGCTGTTGACGGCTAGATCTTTGGCCGTAACAGTCTGTAACGATGGCCAACAAACGGTCGTCGTTCATCAACGACAACCGTTTGTTGGTCGTCATTGACGAGCAAATACGGCCAGATCTGGCCGAAAAAGGCCATATCGGCGCACGACCGGCAAAATCCAGCCAGTCATGCGCCGATACGACGACTCCGGTCACCCTCCGGTGTTGGTGGCCGACTGTCTGTATTTGAGGGTGGGTTGGGGGTGTTTTTGTTAACTTTTAATGTTTTATTATATAGGGTATTTTGTAAAAAAATAAACATAAGGGGTATTTTATTAATTTATAAATCTTACGTCATAATACCCGCCCAATTCAACTTTTTTTTTACTTTTTTCAAAAAACTTTTCCCAAAAACCCAAAATTTTGAACCAAACGAAGCCAAATATGATTCATCTTTTGAGTTTACATCTCAGTAGCAATTCATATTTCAGCTCACATTAAAAGTCGGATTAAAAAACAAATTGCATACGAATCATCAAACGCTTACAAACACCAAGAACTTTCAAAGAAACGGAAATGCAGGAATTCCAGTGACAGAAGCAACAATCACATTAGCCGCAAGGCCAGCCACAACAGAGTATATCTTCTTCCCAAAGTACCCTCCATTACTTCCACTGCTTTCAGCCTGCTGGTTATGAAAAGGAGGCATCGTTCCACTGGGATAGTACACATATGGCGACGGAGAAGCCCACGAAGGGCCTACCGGTTGTTTCTTTAGATCGCAAAAGTTTGCAGAATAATTAACACACTCCATATGGATGTGCACGTCACACTTCTTGCAAGTGTATCGCCACGCTAAACAAGGGTGTCGGCAAACCAAACAAACACTAGGCTTCGAATCCTCAAGTGTCAAAGCATGAAATGGGTGAATCATCTGCATTATTTCTTTTGGCAATTGGGTGCAAAGTGGATGCACATAGAAAGTACATTTTTGGCAGGCACAGCAGAGCCCCTAGACGAAATCGCCGCATAGTTTGCAGGGCCGCCCGGCCACCGGGAGGCATATGAGGGACAATTTGTGCTTGGGGTGGACGTGTGATTGGAGATATTGAGGACCCGTGGCGCAACATTCGTGCATGCGCTAGTTAGTCGCATATGTTGCACCGGTAGTTTCTTCCATAGCCATTGCATAACAATTCTGCATTTAGATCAACCGGGTAAAGAGGATGGCATGGATTTGTAAAGTTTATCAAGGACATTGATCTGTGAGAAGTAATGGATAGTGCAGCCTCTTTCATACAAATGTTTAGACCGTGAGAGTTGACTGGTAAACACCGCTCAGTTTAAATTTAGGTTGAAGTTTAATATGCATTTTTGTTGTCAAATTAATTTGTAAATGATTGGCTTGTGCATATTTATGATTTTTGTTTTCTCTTCGACCAGGGATTACGTCTTAATACGTTACTTAGATGGTACAAATGAACCACTAGCCATAAGATAATCTGAAATTAAGTAGTTGGAATATATATATAAGCATAAGTTTGAATATTCCAAATGCGAGTGACTTGACAGAGACGCTGAGGTGTATCTGAATTCGAGTCTCTCACTAGTTGCTAATAAGGGTGGTCATCAGAGCTCTTATCTGATCGGTATTTTCAAGGTCCCGAAAAATTAATTGAGATGCGCATAAACTGGCCTAGACACCCTGATCTAAAAAAATAATTGTTATGCCTAAAAAAGTAGGACTGACGCCAAGTCTTGTCAGCATGGGTGGTCAGAGCTTAGGTAAGTTCTGCAACCGTTCAGACACAGTCACGTCACATGATGATGTGAGCGGCATGCTCCTGTCAGTGCAGTGGGTATACGCCAAAATTGCGAAATGCTGGAATTGTTCCACGTGTTCAATCCCTATACAAGTTGAGGAAATCACTCGAGCAGGTGAGCAACGGGACATAAAGAAGGGTTTACACGGCAATCTAACCCACTCCCAAATTCAGTAATCATTACCTTAA